ATAACGTTACCGTTATTTTACCGCGAAAAAGATTGTGTTATTTTTTCAGCTGAATATCCTAATCTCTTCAAAACAAATTTTTTAAGTTGCGCACAAAGGCTGAAATATATTCTGTCTCCTTAACGGTTTAACTGAGTATCCATGAGATATCAAATGACATCACAGACACCTGCATCTTTTCTTCGTTTCATCATAAAGTGCTACTTTTACAAACATTTTGTTCAGGGCTACATATTTTACTATTCTTTCGGTGTGGTTTGGCTGGAACTCCTAAAGTTATCACAACAGTATTAATATAAAAAAATTGAGGTTGATAAGCTGACGACTTTTTGCGTAACTGAGTCTAGGACAAGAGAGGATGACTGGTTTCCACTAGAAATGAATTAGTAGAAGGACTAGCAATTTTCTTTTGTGGACAGGTGTGGCACTTTTCCTGAAAGTGGACATCGCTTTCTCAAGTAAGTCGTATATAGCAATTTAAATGACGATGTTGTCGGGTAAATTTATTCATGGCCTTTGAGTTATCTAATAACTAAAGATTCAATGTCTTGGGGGCTCGGAAAGATCGAAAGAGGATTTTTCTTTCGTCCAGCGCGCGTAAGCCTCTCGATCTATCAGGCGCTATCTCAACTTAACCTTTTCTATAAGAGTGTCAACACATTACCTCTTCGGTCACCTAATCAGTGTATTATGTGACGGATATTTCATTAATTCAACGCCCGCATGGTTCTTTGTGGATCATTTTATCGCCTCGTTTCTGTTCAAACGAGGAGCCACATGACTTGATATATTTTTTATTAATAGCAGTTAAGCTAGGAGGCACACCCTGGACTTACGACCGAGGAATAGCCGGAGCCAAAGGTACAGGAAATAAACAGAATCACGGTATTTTACAAAGCTCATAGTTAACAAAGCCAGTGGAATTTTACTGTGTGTAAGCTGCTTTGATTTTCAACAGAGCATTTCAAGTTAAGCATAATCGTTATTGGTTTTTTTTCTGTCAAGGCCCGGATGAATGGGAAACGTTAAACGGTAACTGGTCTTGCAATGGACGTAAACAGTCCCCAATCGACGTGGGCACAGACCAGGTGATGCAGAAAGACCCCACCAATCCACCCAACCTGAGGTTGACAGTGGCTGGCAATAAACCAATCACCGGTGAGATTAGGAACAATGGATATGCGCCCACGTTCTTCCTCGCAGAGGAGTTGACGGTCAAGTTGGCAGGCGGTCTACTTCAGGAAAACTACTTTCTGAAGCAATTTCATTTTCACTTTGGCTGCAATAATACAGTCGGTTCGGAGCACACAATTGATGGCAACACGTATCCGATTGAGGTAAAATCCGACATCTTCTGGCTCGTCTGCTAAGACGAGCCAATGACTTCTCCTCCATTTCATCCTTAAGTGTAGAAAAGAAAGCTCGCAGATTTTGCAAACGTTATTAAGATGTTTAACTCACTGAATACCTTCAAAAAAAAATTTTTTTTCGAAAACAGTCTTGAGTATTCTACTCTCCATAATCCTCCTGCAGCACCCCGGTGCTTATTTGGAATTTCTGTTGTATGTTAGTTGCACATGGTATTTTGGGACAACACTAATTACGCGACGTATAAGTTAGCAGCTCAGGGAGAAGATGGTCTGGCTGTGGTGTCTGTGCTTTACGAGGTATATCACTTAACTATTTCTTCTCTTATTTATCTCTAGAAATCAAGTCGTCAATTGGCATATTAGTGTTAACTTTATTAGTCAGGATAAAATTATGAGAACATGCTCATCAAATAGAAAAATTAAGCATTTGCACAATTAACAAACAATGGTTTATTTACCCTTTAAGTGAATCTAATATCGGAAGATCGTAATCCATTCTGATCGTAGTTGACTGCCTAATGTATAGCTAAAGTCAAGGATGTTGCTAAAATAAATATATAAAATAAATATTGGAATAAAAGCAGCATTTAAGACTTATCTGATCACAAATTAGCTCCTCTAAGTACACAGAAATCTTATGTGGCACATCTCATGTTGCAGCTTCCAATGGCAAACATTGGCACCACACCAGCAAATAATGCTCTGGAAAAAATTGCGCGTCTTCTTAACAACGTTGTCGAAGAGAGTAAGTAGTTCGCACACCTGTGGATTGTTTAGATTAAGCTTATGTATTACAGCTATAATTGAAATTTAAACCATTCGGGACAGATCTCAGAGTCCTAACATATGTTTAACATACTTGCATGATGATGTCACCTAACGTTCAACCATAGAGACGCGTACCATGATGTTTTGGGAGGGGAAACTCAGTTCTTCATATAACTCAGTATTTTTGTTCGCGATAGACTGAAGCAAATGAGGGGGACTGGGTTGAGATCGAGACAAAATTCAGCTCTCAGTCTCTATCATCATGCTAGCCATATTTACCTCGTCTTTTCATAAAAAGACAGCAATTACGTGGTAACACAAAGCGAGGGGCTGCATATCGAGGACTTGGCACCATTACTCGCGTCGCCAGATGTTGCAGACAGGTTTTACAAATACAAAGGATCTCTCACGACTCCCGGGTGTTATGAATCGGTCACGTGGTTTGTGATGAACAATCATCCACAGATAACAGAGCAAGAAGTAAGAAATCATCTTTACACAAATATTTTTCAACAACACACTACTCGAGGAATTCAAACCTCAAGAATTTTAGAAATTTTTTAATCCAAACGCTGTTTTTCATCTTGAAAATAGATACTGGCATTCCGAAATCTAAAAAGCAGCAAGGCGCATGCTCAAGGTCCAAATGTTGGTCGTATGTGCAATAACTTTCGAAACGTTATGCCACTGAATGGAAGACAGATTCATAGCAACATCGTCCTAGAGTGAACAGAAAGTATCCATCTTTGTATTTCTCGTATCCACAGTAAGGTGAGTGTGTCTGAAAATAGACACGAATAATTCAGAGCGTCTTGCAATTGCTATGTGTCACAGAGACCGCCTGACGATCCTGGGTTCCCTTAAGTTTTTTTTGTATTTCTCGAGGAAGTGTTTAAAAGGTTTCCCAAGGTTTTTTTTTTTTTACAAATTTTTGTAAAAACCAAAACAAGTATCAAACATTCACGAATTTGTTCTCAGGCCTGGTTTTCAGACATCACCGAGGAAGAAAGAGATTGGAGACGAGGTTGTGTGCTATCGCAACAGTCATACATTGAAAATAAGAATCAATGCGACGAGAAAAGGAGATGGTAACCAGGAAATTAAAATGTAACATAGGATTAAAAAAGGATTGGCCCTCGAGAAATAAATGAAAATATAGAGTTCATGTATGTGACAGGTTCTTGTGACATTTTCGATATATTAGGTTGATTGAAGTTCTAACAGGTTTTCGTCCTCTAAGAAGCAGCATAGATTTGGTTAGCGCTGAACTTCAGCTTCTATCACGCAAAACATCTGTGGTGTTCAAAGTGATTTAACATATTTAAAACCAATGAAGTTCTGGGCCATCGCTAGTTTCCCGGATCCTCAATTACCAGCAATCATTCCCACTACAGCCAAAATTTCAAAATTTCATTTTTCACTAATGGAGTTTGAAGTTTTCATGATTCCCGAGATCACAAGTAACACTCCCTTCCCCCCCTTACCCCTCCCCTAAGATTTATTTTATCATTTCCTTCGCAATTCTCTTGGCTATTTGGTCGTCAACAAACTGAGTCAGATCATGTTTCAGCAGCAACTACATTTTCTGACGTTAAGTTGGAGTTACAAGCTTGAGCTTGACTTAAAGACTAAAACCTTTTCCTTCTTACAGTCACTTTTTAAAGCTATTACAGTATTTTTACTAACCACTGGTCTCTGTTCTCAAAACAAAAATGTAAGATTGCAGAGTTCTAACTTTTCTGAAAAAGAAAAAAACTTAGCAAACGCTATCAGTGTGTTACAGATATCAGTTTGTATATTATACTCTCTTCAGTACTCGCGTCAGAGTTCTTCGAGGGGATTCCTAGAAAATGCCATGTGCGAAGAGACGGATCAGGGGAAGAACAGCTAATAAAAATACCATGCTTAAAATCAATGCTATTTAAAGCTTCGATCCCTCAAGACGAACCACGTCTTGTAATCGAACATCCTGGCCCCCGTCATTCCTGGGATCCACATCACGTGACCTGGACAGGTCCACGTGTGTGTCATTTTTTCTCGCACATGGCTTGAAGCAGAAAATCGCTGCCCGGCGGCAAATCATCCTGTAGCTGGCGTCAAACAATGGCAACAGCGGGGAGATGGAGGAATGAAGATAAATCGCAAATTTTATGATGGTATTTAGTTGTTGAGGGTAGTTGGTGAAACAAAGGCTTAGTGCAACCGAGGTGCAGAGAGGTAACCAACACAAAATGCTGAGGCAACATCTGAGTAACAACAGTCTGCAAAAGGACTTCTGTTGCTTTATACCTTTGAACGGTGGGAGAGACCGCGGGTCATGGAAAATTCTCTTTCTCCCTGTCCACATTGGATGGGGGACCTGTGAGGAAATGACAAACGGCTTCCCAGGGATACCAGAGAGGGACCTCCCAGTAGTGGCACTAGGTATTACCTGCTCTGAGACTCCCGTGGTAGTACTTGATTCGCCTACGTTTCCGGCTTGCACACTGAGCGTCCTTTCCCGAGCAATGATTTCCAGTAGAACATTCAGATTGCCTTCGATTGGGCGAGATCTCTGAGAAGTCTTTCTGAATGGCAAAGGACTGTTACAAGAGGAAACTACACCCGATAGTCTACCAGAAATCACACTCGATCGCCTGGAAAAGCTTGTCTTGGACGATGACTTGGATGACGAAGCAGTAGTTGTCATTTCAGGATCATTGATCATCGTTTCCAATTTGTGTCTTTCCCAGAGGAGCTGCAGCGGGTAAAACCGGCGCCGTCTTCTTATTGCTCTCACAGTTAGAGACAAAGTGATGAATAAAACGATAAGGGAGGAAACAAGATAGATGATGGTGTAGTAAGACAAATTATGAACGTGGCTGAGCAAGGAGCAAGGATTCAATAAATAGAGACCATTGTATGAGCTCCACCCCAGAATAGGAGGAATGCTGAAAAGTAACCCTGTTAAGAGGGAAATTACAAGAAAAAGAATTCCTCTCTTCTTGACGTGCAGTTTGCCGTATAAAGGAAATTGATGGTCAATGTTTTGACAAAACAGAGCAAGAACAAACAGAACCAAGAAACAAGCGAATTGCACCCAGAAGTTTAGAAACGTCAAGCTCTGACAGAGTGTCTTATTATGTTCCCACCAAACCAGGCCTGTAACAAGAGTCACGAGGAAGTGCCCAGGGCCAAGCAGTGTGGCCGTGAAGTCGAGTGCAGCTAAAACTGTTATGTGAGGACATCTGAGGGTTGAACGATAAGAAATAAAGGGAATGGCAAGATTTCCACTCACACCTAAAAACACCAGAGCACTGGCGAGTACAAGTTGAAGGGTACTTGAAACGATGAACATTATTCGCTGGTGATAAGTCACGCCACCTGCTGATGCTGGATGCACTTGAAATCTAAAGAATGAACACAAGTAAGACCATGACATTCCTTATTGCACGAAGAGGTAAATGATAAGTTAATGGGTTTGAAACTTAAGCCTTAATCCCTCAGCTTGTTCTCCTCAAGCGTTAATATTTTTGATATTATCAGCGTGTATAGCTCTTATTTCTTTATTTTTCTGTTTACCAAAATGTCCAAATTCTTTATTGTGGGGTGTTGGCGGTAAAAGAGTTGAAAAGAATGTCAACAGGAAACAAAAGGGCCACTTGGCACAGGAGCTTTCTGCTTGAATTTTGTTCTATAAAGCATCGAATGGTCTCAGAAAGACGAAACTGGATCAACAACTGTATAAAAGCGGTCACAACAGACTTGAACGTGATAAAAATTTAATTATCATCGCTGTTATGATATTTATTATTAAACTAAACAATACGCCAGATGTTCGGCGTTTGTAGGAAATCCCCTCAAATTCTCAGGTTTTTCGGAACGATTTAAAAAGATGTTTTTGACATAAGATTGTCGTTATGATGGATTTTATCTCGCCTGAAACAGGATGTATCAAAAGAAATAAAGGGTCCATTCTTTTGTCAGAACAGTTTTTCAGTTGAAAATATTTTCGGTGGAATTTCGTTTTCTTTTCACCTTTAATAGGACTCTTAAATTATTCTGGAAAGGGAGGTTGAATTTTTATCATCATTTCAAAACTGAGTTAGCGGAAACATCGCCCGACTCTTCTACCAATGTTACGTATGATTAAGTTATTTAAAAGTTGTTTTCTCAAATCTCTTAAATCAAAAATCACAGCTGTTTACTTCGTTCCGAAGAAAGCTGTCACTAGAAACAGAGCAGAAATAAAATCGTGCGAACAGTCACTTAAGATTTTTTACATATAGGTCAGCGATCATGTCAAAAATTAAAAAAAAGTTGTATGTTGTTCTTTAGTTTTTGTAATTCATATGTGCGCACAGATTTTTTTTTCAGTTGAATGATCTACCTAACGTACCTCCAGGTGCAGGTTGATTTCTCCACAATATCGTTTTCAGCAAAATTTTTTACCATCATGGCATTTCCAACTGAAATTGATTCCCGAATATGGAATGTCCGAGAGTGATTTTTTAAGACATTCATGAACGGAAAAAGTAGAAACAATGATCAATAAAATTTATACTGAGGAAATTTTCAAATTTTTTACTTCAGATATAAATGCATATATTTCTCTAATTGCTGGAATATCTTTGGAATCGGAGTGAAGATAAAGCGATGTACTAATGTTTAAAACTGAGGTACCTCTGCACATACCAGCTGTTATCCAGTCTTTTTGACCTTCCTGTGTTACAAGGCAGAGGAAAGACCAGTGTTGAGTTGTTTTTAAAAGTCGCAGAGGGCAAAACGCAATGACTGCCAAACTGTGTGAGACAGGACGAGGTTGAGGGTGATAATGAAATGGAAATGATTTGAAATTATCATCAAAAGAAAAAGGCAATTAGTATTACAGATAATTAGTAATTTTTAGGAGGCCAATAAAGCTAATTTAATATCATTCAATTGCCAATCGTTTAAGAAACTTTTAAATACCTGCAGGTTGACATGGCAACAAAAAAGTCCACGTTTTTATATGGTTTCTGGTTTTCCATGTTGTTTTATCATGGAGCATCCCTTGACACTTATAGTTTGAGCGTTCACAAATTTATACAATGTGAACAACAGATGACACTATGCAGCGATTAAACACCATCGCCATCTGATAAGTCCGCTACAGCCTTGGATAACATATGCCGAGGTGCAACAAATACGTACTATTGGCTACCTTTTCATCGGTGACAGCGACATCCTATTTCTCTCCTGTTCACAGTTAATGGTCTTTTCTCCTTCTTTATCCACTGCGAGTTTATTTATTCATTTTTCGTACATCAATCAGTTTAGCACAGTTTCAGTTTTAAGAAAAAGGTGTTTAGGAGTTTAGGATGGTAGAAGGCCATGGTTCTCCTAAAAGAGACTCGCCGATTTAAAAAGTCTTATAACCAAATGTTGAAATGATTGATAATTCTAGGGAATGTGTAGAATGCGTTCCCTTCCCAATAGAAAAAGGTGGGTTTCGTCGAGCGATCATGGATTAGACCAAAATCGAACCAAATGCATCAGACTTTGCCCGAAAGAACCTGGAATAACTAAGACATTTCTTACGGTACATTTTATTTTTTACAATGGCTACTTTCGCATTATTTGTGATCTATACCTGGGATAAAAACAGAGATTTGGCGAGAAAAAGGTAAGATGCAATGTAAAACATTCAATATCTCAAAATTGTCATAAGTTACGAAATGAAATACTTCCTGACTCTTGCAGCCAACAACAAACAAGTTAAGAGCGAAACTACAATAGCCGTAAAGAAAATGATTAAAAATACTCTGTCTAAAACCATGGCTGCTCTTTTCCACTGTTCTGTATTTGCCCTCTGAGTGTTTTCTCTTTCAAAATACTCAGCAATGTAATCCAAACCATCAATAGCAGTGGTTATGTCATCTAAAACAAAAATATTAAAGTCAATGGTTAACCGGTAAGTCATTAATTAAGTTGAAGTATTAGTGGGCTGACTTATTGAATATATAATATACAACACCTTGTCCAATAGCATCTTTTCTTACCTATGTCAGAATCTTTGGTATCTGAACCGCTGTTAAATCCTCTTAGCTGATCTACGCCTTCTTGTAGACGGCCTGAAATGTCCTCGATATCGTTGCCATTGTCGTCCAATGATTCATCCCAAGATACCTGAGTGAACCAAGATGATCCCGCTGAACAAACCAGAGTGTGCTCAGTACGTTTTACTGCTGACTCACCGTCGTGTATTTTGGTTGCTCTTCGTTTGACAACTTTTCTTGACTCGCTTTTCTCGCAAGCAAAAGAAACTTTTTTGCAATCTTCGGTCAGGCTTTCACTTCTTACAAATTCAGCTGCAATTGATTCATTATAGGTAGCCATAACAGCTTTGACATTTTCATCTGACCTGACAGAGGCAGTACTCGAAACGCTACTGCTGTATTCGAAAGAAGAACCAACTGAAACCAGTGTAAGGCGACCCTCCTGATCTACTCGACCTGCTGCAGAAATCCGGGGAATTGTACCATGACTATCACTAGTAATTATCAGGGGTGGGTCTTGAATTGAATGGGCTTGTCCATCATCTTTGTGACATTCCTCGGGAGTTTTATCCTTCCTGGCATCGAAATCTGGCGTCAAATCTAAGTCTACTGATGGGAGAAAATAAAATGAAACTACCTCTTCTATGAAATAATTAAAATAAAATGTAATTATCTATAAGCGTTCCGTTTGTCGTGTGTCTTCTAGAAATAACATCCTCTTCAGACGACACGTGGAAAATTAAATTCTTTCATACATCATTTAGTGAAAAATATGAGCTTTGCGTGAGAGCTTGTCTTATTTGCATACCTGTTTGTGAAGGATGAACCTTTGATCGTGCTCGAGATCGTGTGCGTTTTAAGCGTCTGCAGGGACTGGTAAAGAGAAGTGGTTGTAGCCGTTGTAATATGAAATTCTATAAAAGATATAACTCGATTTAATTGTGGCAGTTACTTAAGTGGATTTTTATGCTCTTGGTTTTATTTTAATTTGGAAAGCAGTTTTTTAATTTTCTTAAATACTCAGAGATCCTACTGAAGCTAATACCGATTTTGGTCTCTTCAATTTCGGACAATCTGAAGTAGGAGGGTAACAACTTTCCTCACCATCAAAAATCGCGAGAAAAAAACTGTTGAGACGATTCATTTACCAGCCCTCTGAACAAACCGCTTCTAAAATTGTTACTACCCGACATCATGGAAGTAGAAAAAAACGCTTTGACAACCTTGAAATAGAGAAAGTTGACAGGAAAGGTAACAAAGGTGCTTGAATTGAAAATAAGCCTACATTCGGCTTAGTTGTCTCAACAGTTTTGTCCACGATTTCGGATTGTCCTTGAGAATATGCAAGTCACTCTTTCGCTACTGGTTTTTTCGTACCTTAAAAAGAATAAACAGCGAAGTATGATGCAACTCCACACCGGATGAGTTCATGAAATAAACAGCATACACTAAACACGTGCAACACATAGCCAATGCAAGGATTATGATTGCGCAGCCGGAGAACTTTGTCAACAGAGGGAAATTTTTTGAGGCGTTTGGCATCTTTGTGTTTAACAGCAGGAGATACACAGATAAGCACAGTAGAAGGTTTATACCGGCCTCTGAAATATTAATGTTCACAATAATAATAACACATTTTATAACGCTATTACTACAGGATTAATTATGAAACAATTTCAATTGGGATCCAGTCTCTTCCTCAGTACAAATTATCAAGCTAGCCAGCGTTTGGAGTCTTCAGTAACTCCTCACTATTAAGAACTCAAAGAGGATTCTCTATAATGAATAGTATATTGTATTACTATTCTGTTTGGAGCTACCCCTGACCGTTTAGCAATATCTGCAGGCGCATTCTTGATTTTTCTTTGCGTGTAACTCGACTCGCAGGTTTGTTTGCGTGTTATTTTTCTCGTGGTTATTTGTCTGTCTGTTAGTACCGAGAGGAGATAGAATCTATTTCCCGTGTTAGATATTATGATAATACACAACCCTTGACTTGATTCAAAGTCTATTGTTATGCCAGAAGTCAAAAGACGAGAACAATTCTTACCCATTCGCTTTCCAACTTCAGGCGGGATGAGAAACAGTAGCAGGGATAAAGCCAAAATAACTACCGATGGAATGAGGTAATTGACAATAAAGAAAAGTGATTTTCGCCTGACCATTATGGTATACACCACAAGAGAAAAATCGTTGTCCTGAAAATTGTCGTGCATGCGTACTTCAGGAGATATTTGAAGTACATCCCATTTGCTGTTTTTCACAAATTGCGTCATGTCGATTCCTTCTTTGCGCAGGTCCAGCATCACAAGGCTGGAGTCCATAGTCCATGAACCAAACGTCAATTGGCAAGTCTGATCGTCAAAAGGAAAGTCGGCAACGTTTAACGCGCATGCGCTACGGATGGTCGTTGGCTGGGAGAAGAAGATACTACCGCTGCTATTAACGATAAGGCCCATGGGTAGATCGTCATCGCTTGATAAACCAAAATCTCTGACGGCACCAACTCTACAAAAGCGAAGTAGGAAAGAATAGGGAAAGAAAGATTCAACTGGTTTCCCCAGTGGCAAATCACAGGACCGCCTATGAACTGTACTCACGCGTTATAAAGAACCATGTCTGGGGTCCAGACCTCCTTGAAATCTAAGGTAAGAGATGTGATATTGTGCTGGGTTGCGTTCCATCGTAAGCGGTTATCCAACCAGAACTAAAGTTAGATTGGAAATGAAAGGAAAGTTTAGGGAGACATTTTGCAATCTAAATATCAAGTTATTTAATCTTCATGGTATGTTTCGTAAGGTACAACAAAATTCTGTTACATTGAAGGATAACAGTGGAAAAATTGATAAAAAGGAGTTTAATGTACGTAAATAATCATTTATAAAAACTTTCTCATTCATTCACTCATTCACTTACTCATTCTGCAAGCTGAGCGTTACAAAAACACATCAGAAAGCTCTAATGACGACTTTCACCTCACAATCACAACGAAACCAGATCGAATGATAGAAATTGTGGCAAAATCTGCTTTCTTCCCTCCTCGTGAGAAAAAAAATTCTGTTGAAGGAAAGAGTTCCAACTCGGGTCCCTTTGAGTTGTTCTCAAATGAGGACCCTCAACCAAACGTTTAAGTTTAAGTTCCTCTCTTGTCACTAAGTGTCTTGTTATAAAGATATTTCCCAAGACATGCTCACCATTCGAAGCCAAATTGCTAAACCAATTTCTTCCTTCTTCGGATCCTTAATTCAAAATACATAGCGGCAACAAAGATTAGTCTCACTTGTTCAATCATTAGAAAAGGTTCCAGCAAAATTTAGTTAAGTTTGCAAATCCTGAAAATAACTTTTCCTAAGGAGGCTGAAATTCATGATGAAGAATGAAAATACTAAGCTTAAAGTTGAGGTTGAGAAAGGAATGGATTTAATGTCAATATATTTAAAAGAGGAAATTCAATTCTTTGGCAATTTCCCGAATATCTCAATAAAATGTTTTTATTTTTAATGCAACTGGTATTAGAAATTAACATTTTAAAGCTGAACAATGAGTCAAAAGGACGCAATTTGGAGACGTGTTTTACAAATTTGAACTTTAATTGATGTTATTTTGGCCCAATTCCAGTCGGGATTCACTTACCACTTCATCAAGATTGGAAACAACCAGGTGTAGAGAGATATGCACTGGAGTCGTAGGACGCTGGTTCTTGCTGTAGTTTGCAAACAAGATTCGTCGCAGAATCTTTTCGTTCTTGTTGCCTTTCCTGAGCGAACAATCTGCGGATTTTTAATAATGTTTTCCATTAGTTGTTGTTCCGCTTGCAAAAACGCTGCTTTCCATTTTTTCGGGAAATCGATATTTTCCAACGGCCCGAAACTTCATAAGGTGTAATTATATTTTGCAACACTTGCAACACTTGAATTCAAATGTCGCGTGCGATGTCAAAATTGTCCAAGAAGCGAAAGGTTCCAAGTTCCTTTTTCAGAATTTTGGTACATTTCCAATCCATTCATTGAAAAAGGGGAACCTAGAACATACTTCCAACGTCCACATATTCATCAGATCTAACAATTATGACAAAGTTGAAAGATAATTTGGACAATGTTTATGACCGCGAACGTATGTACAAGGCACTTCCTCAAAACCGAAGAAAAGACTGTCAAATCATACCAGATGTCACTAACAAGCCTAAGTTTTATCCTCAAGAAGTTAATACCGTCACAGCAGGCATTACATGTTTGATACCTTGATCGCCAAGTGTGCTGAGAATGAGACCAAAGACCATTACGCTAAAAATGGCTGAATTTTCCTTCATTGGAAACTTTGCTGAGGATTCAAGAGCAGCCTGCAAAAGGAGAACTCATCAATTTAGAACCAGGGAATGAAGTTTCGTTCTCAGGTTTAGCTGGTAATGAGGGTACCTGCTCCATGTCGCCTAAGTGACGTTTGACAGGTGCCTTATTATAACAAGCTCATATGCCAGAAAGAGCGTAATAATCTCTAACAAATATATATCGCATAAATTAGTGTGAAAATGGACTATAATTTGGCATAAAACGAAAGAACCAAAATTGATTTTGAACATTTTTGAGCGGTGCACAGGTTTTTGTTTTCTAAAGTATACTACGTTTTGGTCAATTTCAATTCGGATCCTAACCAAATTACAGGTACTTGAAATTATCGAGCTGAAAATTCCACAGAATTTTGACTGGGTCGAACCTTTTGATTGCGCACGAAAACTCAGTATACTAAGATTCTTTCAGTTCTTGCTGACGTACAGAAATAGAATTTCTTATGGAAAACACGTGTAATACGTAAAATCCTATTTACTCCGATATGATCAAGAATTCTAGAACCTCTACTACGCAATAAAAATGTGGACAATTACTGTCAATCAACGTCAAAACACTGATAAATTTAGAAGGCAATTTCAATGAATGTGAGCTTTAATAAAGCATTCCGGTCCTGAACTTTATCAGTTTATCACTCCTGGCCATCAGGGGATCAAACATTAGTGCGTTGCTCGCCCTTAAACGCATTTCCATGTTTTAGTCACTTGCATTCCAAACTCCTGATTTTCCTGGACAAGGCATACAAGTTAGTTAAACTCGGACGTAAAATCTTGATCATAAATCAGGTGCTATAAGTTGCCATCTTTGAACGTGCTTCATTAGGTAACAGACTTAACAGTGAAACGAACGGGTTAGAGGTTATTTATACGTTTAAAAGATAACAATTCTATCGAACGTCGGTGATGCATTAGAAGGTTATTAAGAACGATTTCAGTAGTAGTGAGTCTCGAAACATTTTTAATTTTTGCAAAGGTTAATGATCTTCATCGGATCCGTTCAGTAATTGAGTTATCATAAAAAGGGAAATGCTCTTTCGCAAAATTAATTCATAATATTTTTAAGTTTTGTACGCCCATAAAATTAATCCTAACAATAGCTTACTTCATTTATATTGTTTACGAATCACTTAGTATCTTAAGAGCCGCTGTCGCTTTAAAATGACCAAATGGAAGGAGTGCAGACTTGATACTGACTCCTCTTTCGATTACCACTGAAGTACGCTTCCACGCATTTTTAGAATCTGATCAGAATTTTTTTTTCGCTGCAATTCTTATCAAGAGTCAATTCTTGATCCTTAATCTATTCACATATCATGTCAAAAAAAATCAGTCATCTTCGGAAATCTGTGTCGCGTGACTAATTATTCTAGAAATCTGCACCGCTGTTAGAATAACAGCTTAAATAACAACATCGCACGATACAAGACGATCAGTCTTACCTAACTCGGAACACCTGTGTCACGTCTACCGTTTCTCATCAAAACACCAACATGCTTCATTTATACGGACAAGGATTACCCAGGAGAGCGCCGAAACGAAGGGGACGAAGAGCTGTCAGCTTGACGCAGCCCCATATATTTAACCGCTTTGAAGAGCCTTCCAAACACCCGATCATCCAACCATACAGCAGCAAAAAGAGAAAAGTGAGTGATCGAAATGATGGAATTACTGTGAACGTCAGTGGAAAGAAATACTTCTTCACTGGAAGATTGTTATCTCTATTTCCCAACAGTCTACTGGCGCATTGTAGAAAACGAGCTTTTTTCTACGATTCTATACGCGACGAACTGTTCTTCGACAGGAATCGAACAGCGTTCGAAACCGTGTTCCATTTCTACGTGTCAAAGGGGCGATTGATGTTTCCCGATGAAAACTTTCCAGAACAGCTTCTGGCGGATGAGCTTTACTTTTTTGGGCTATATGAGTACATTAACGAAGATATCAAAAAGACAAAATTAGCCTTGCCAAGTGCTTTGACCAAGAGACAAGTTATGCCTTTAAGAAAGTGTCAAAGAGAAGTATGGAAGATCTTTGAAGTTCCAGATTCAAACGCACTAGCTAGGCTGGTCAACTTGTTCTCTTTACTCGTTATTGTCTGTTCAGCTATAATCCTGTGTGTTGATACTCTCCCTACCTTCAGGAACTACAAAGCCATGACCTTGGCATCAAATGCTGCATCGAACACATCAAAGAACTCGAGTTATGGCAACCATTCCACAAAGACACAAAAAATAGGGATCGTTCATATCTTGGAGGCTTCTTGTATTTCATGGTTTACTTTGGAACTCATTGCACGATTTTCCGTTTCTCCAGAAAAACGAAAGTTTTTTGTTCAAGCTTTGAATATCATCGATTTAGTAGTCATTGTTCCATTCTACATCTCGTTGTTTATATCCTTTGGATCTATTCGCGTCTCATTGTACATTTTGCGTATTCTCCGTTTGTCAAGAGTTTTTAGAGTATTAAAAATATCTCGCTATGTTACTACTATGAAAGTACTGGGAAAAACTTTCAAGGACAGTATTGGTGACCTCTGGACAATGTTATTTCTGAACATAATTGGAACTGTTCTCTTTGGGAGCATAGCTTACTATTGTGAACAGTGGCACGAGGGGACTAAGTTTGAGAGTATCCCGGTGAGCTGTTGGTGGGCTATGGTTACCATAACAACGCTCGGCTATGGAGATATCGTTCCTAAAACACTAGGTAAGAATGAAATATCACTCCTGGGGCTGTTTCTTAGCCTAGTTTTCTATACATTCTTCAGTGGTTTGGGTTACTTTCTTATCAAATTGAGATCCGGCAAACCGTGAACGCTTTTATTTGAACCTGAGAGGTCAATTGTGTACTGGTCGATCTTAATAAAGTTCAGTGCACGCGATCAAACCCAAAACCACAAACTAATTACTTTGCTGATTGTGGTTTAGTTTCCTCGCGCTTGATTGGCTTTGTCCTTGAGACAAAACAACATTCCAGAAACATCATGGTTTCTGTTGTTTACAATTTTCTGATCGTGGGTTTCAGAGTATAGTTACTTCAATTCAAGCATCTCTCACTTTTGCGCTATCTTACATCGGGATGATGATTAATTACAGGGCTATTGGCTCATGAAGTATCCAAATACCTTATAAGGATTTCTCCTTAGCTAATTCCATACTTTTCCTTTTGAGTTATCCAAAATATTTAGTGTCTTATCAAAATAAGACTTTTTTTTACAACCTGTTTTCTGGAAAATGCTTTGATATTTTGGGGAAAAAGGAGTAAAAGGCTTAAGGAGATTATGTGTTTCTTCTTATACACCAAGCCATGTAAGGTCTCACGTGCTTATTTTCACCATGACAACTCCACGATCACAGGAAATTCGAGTGGCTTTGTAATCAATAAATAACACTTATTTTCTCTATCACACTGCTGGACTGGTACTCAGACAGACAATCCTAACAATTTCTTGATGTTGTCTAACAGGGGGTAAGATAACAGGTGGAGTGTGTTCAGTGTCTGGAGCTTTACTCATCACACCCTTCTTGCCAATCATCTTTGAAAAGTTTAACCGGTATCAGCAGCAGGAGGAGTTCAAACCAAAAAGTAATGGGTACGACATGCGGGAAAAACAAAGAAAGAGAGCTTACACGGTTGACTACACTACGCATGAGCAATGCCAAGTAAATGAACCGCTGGTCAGAAAAAGGCAGAGGAGATTCACGGTCTGAAAAACAACCAACAAGAAGGGTGGATAGAGAATTTTAAATACACCTCCAGCATAAGAAGCTCAGATATTCAAGAGAACTTCATACCATGGAAATGATTTATTATTTTCGTAAATATAACTGTACTTATTACTTGATCATTGTATGCTCGAGAATCTTACAGTCTCTGATTTTGAGAGTCAAGGGAATTAAACTCATATTTGGTGGCCTACTTAATTATGCCCATTTCTGCAAGTACGCCTCTCGATTTTCTTCATACAGGTTACTGTTTCAACAATTCAATGCCTTAATCTCGGCGAAGTTCGGCGAGCAAGTATAAAACAAAATTATCGCTGAACGGGACCTACGAGTGAGAAGGGGCGCGGTACCCCGGACATGTTTTCGTGTTGCGCGCCAACTTTCGCTTGTCGCAGATTTTTATTATTTAGATATGATAATTCTTTCACTTTCTTGATGGCAAAGAAAGAGAGAAATACATTCCCATCACAGATAATGAATATTTGATATTCCTCATTTCAGTTTTTGCCCCCCAGTTCGTCGTGATTTAGTTTTTCCACTTTTTCTTCACTGTAATATTCATTGTATCATTTCTAAAATACGGCTACAACAAAACTGAAACTAATTAATAAGACCTTGAAACAATAATTAGTTATTTACACGGCAAGTTCTTCTCTGTTATGATAATTAAACAGAAATTAATTCGTTAATTGGCATCCAACGATGTAATTGGCAAATCATAATTTGTTTATCAAGGATCAACAATGTTTTCGTTAGGGCAAAACATACTCGGTTTTTAATGTTACGTCACATCTGTACAAAGAAGGGAACTCGCTTTCAGAGGAATAAAGACATAAAGGTAATCACTAACAATTTTCTGTGCAATCCTATCGCTCTTAATTTTCCAAGCACAAAATCAGCACTTTGTTAGTTATAATTGCAACGATATGGCGTTATTGTTTAAAAAAAAAACGGTCAATATATTATTTCATTTCTTAAGTCTGCTTTCACACTCAAGAATCTAGGCACAGTGAAAATTAGATTGGAAATTACTTTTCGTATTCATGGCCACGGTTTGTCAATTACCCATAAGGAGACTATTATACCCTTCTCTAATAAATTGGCGTTTGATTTAATTCAGTTATACTGTTAATTTATATTCTGATTGAGGTAGTAAACGCCGTAAATTGACTTTCTTTATCATCTTCTTTTTCCTAATAACGGTTTGACTGTTTTTAAAGTCTGTGCGCCTTGCCCTTCATCCCACACTTTCCTTCGCAGTAAAGGGCAACAAGAAAGGCGAGCGTCGCTGCTGGCTTAACTGGTATTTTGGGAACACAAACAAGAGGTAAAATTTGATCTCGAA